ATTTTTTTTATTGCATCGGGAATTATGATCTATTTGGGTGTAAGTTATGATTCACTATAGTTAACAAAGATGGATCCTAAAAAGCTGGGTTGGAACCATATAGTGATTGTAATTTTAACTTGTTTGAGTTTGCAATCTTTTTGTCATCATACATTTTTCAATCAAATTTGAGCATTAATTTACAAACAATAAATTTTTCGAGTCATGATAATTTTTTGCTCTATTCTTTAACAATTGGGCTTTGTAAATCTGACTTGATTATAAACTAAAGGAGGTCGATTGAATTGAGATATTTTCCTTCATATATAGAACTTTGGAATTCGGAAGAGAGTATCAATTGGATGTAGAACAATGGAGCAAACATGTAACACCCAACTAAAAGTTGTCTCATATATTGTGCATTCTAAGTTTCTAACCATAACCTAACCATAATTAATTCCATGTATTGTGTCTGAAATTTTCATATCCAACCATCTCAAATGCCTTTGAATATTAGAGATCACAACACAAAAAAAAAAAAAAAAAACACTAAAAACTAAATTTGGGAGTCAATCTAACAAACAACTGTACCTTAAATGTTATGATATTTCAATCTCGTTAATGTGATAACGCTACTCTAGCCTAGGCATTGACACGGTTCATGGTATGGAGCTATATCCATGACCAGATCATCTACGAAAACATCCAATCAACTTCTATTTGCAAGTCCATGTTCTGGCCTTTGATTGACGAAGTAATTATGATTCAGGACATGTCGACTTTATCGTAATTGAGGGGAAATAGGGATGCATTGTAGCCACAAATGACTTTTTTTGGACCTTGACTTTGGGTCTTTCTGGAGTCCTCTGTCATATTTGTCTCCGGGACTTGATTATGGTACCGAAATTTTGAATTTCGGTACCATTTCAAAATTTATCACATAGTAATTTTTATTATATTTGTGAGTATTTTTATCATTGTGTAGTACCCAAAAAAATAAAAATAATTATTACAGCAGTGGTAAAAATATTTACAAATATAGTAAAAACACCCACATAATTGATAAATTTTACTAAACTTAAGAAAAATGATAAAAATAATTATCATAAATATAATAAAAATACCCACAAAAATTGACAAAATTTTTAGTTATAAAATAATTCACAAAAATTATAAAAACACTTTTGATTTAGTAAATTTTGAAATTACGATATCAAAATTTTTTTAACGGTGCCATAGTCAAGTGCCGGTCTCTATATTCTGGGCAAGTCTGGCAAGAAAGTATAAGAGTGTATTTATTGTAGCAATTAATGTATGACTTGAAAGTCTTTCTTGACTTGTCATCGCAGTCTTTTCATTTTGAGGCGGTGTCTTATCTGTCTTTTCATTTTGGGGGCGGTGTGTTAACTGTCTTTAGAGATGTTTTCCTAATCAATTTTAGTATTTTTTCTTGGCTCAAATGATACGATCGAATATGACAATTATACAAATAGTTTTCTTAATGTAGATATGAAGCTTGACTTTCTTTAAATTTGTTCTTAAGTGGTTCAGGAATGACAAAGATCAGTGTTACGGTAAAAAAGAAGGAGCCTTGCTGTTAGTGCAATTACCTCTTTTTTGTATACTTACTACTTAGGATTTGGCTTTAGTATTTTATAGACTTACTTCACATTGATTTGGAGTGTTAATTGAATCAAACTTGTTTTAATTTGATAACGTTCAGGCTCAATTTTAATTGTGATTAATCAAATTTGAGGCACTCCATGACACGATACTCTTTTTGAAAGTCCCTTCAGAGTGTTTTTTATATTGACTAAAAACATCTTCAACTCTTACTCAAATTAAATTGAATAAAAAAGGTTAAAAAACTTATTCCAACCTTTGATTTAAATTTAGGGTTAATCTCATTTTGCACCTTAAAATATTATTTAAATTTCAGTTTGCACCCCCAAATATCAAAAATCTCAATTTACACCCTCAAAGATAGAAATTTGTATCAATGTGCATCCCTAAAGATAAAAAATCTCAATTTGCACCCTCAAATATAGAAATTTGTATCAATGTGCACCTAAAATTAAATTAATAAATTATACATAGATCCCCTCATGTTTGTCACTTAATCATTTGAACTCCTTTACATTTAGAATATTCCCCTTACATCTCATGACGTTTGTGCATGTGTAACACATAACCATTTTTCGTTGATATCTGTTAATATAATCGTTAAAAAATATAATTTTATCCTAATAAAAAATTATAATTTCATATTACCTTTTATTTTGTGGATTCGATATACTCTAAAGTTGAAAATCAAACTTACCATTTGAATGTCTAATAAAATGTAGATATTTATATAAAAGGTAATATGAAAAACATTATATAAATATTTACATTTTATTAGACATTCAAATAGTAAACTAGATTTTGAACTTTAGAATATATTGAACCCATAAAATAAAGGGTAATGTGAAATTATAATTTTTTATTAGGATAAAATTATATTTTTTAACAGTTATATTAATAGATATCAATGAAAATGGGATACGTGTTATACGTGCACAAATTTCATAAGATGTAGGAGTAATATTCTAAATGTGAAGAGGTCTAAATGATTAAGTGACAAGTATGAGGGGATCTAGGTATAATTTATCAATTTAATTTTAGGTGCACATTGATACAAATTTCTATCTTTGAGGGTGTAAATTGAGATTTTGTTATCTTTGGGGTGCACATTGATATAAATTTCTATCTTTGAGGGTATAAATTGAGATTTTTAATCTTTGGGGGTGCACATTGATACAAATTTCTATTTTTGAGGGTGTAAATTGAGATTTTTAATCTTTGAGGGTACAAATTGAGATTCGAACAATCTTTCGGGGTACAAAATGAGATTAACCCTTAAATTTATACTAAATCAAGGGAGACGTTTTTTTTTTATTTAAATCAAAAGAGACTCAAATCTTTACCCAAATCTTTAATGATGAAATTTCACCATCTTTTAAAGATTCAATGATTATGTTTATTTTCTTTTAAATTTGAGTTTATCCACATCTAAATTTGAGTTTCTTTTTTTTTAAAATTTGAGTTTATCCACATCTTTTTTTTATGTTTTGGAGACAACCAAAACATGTCTTGGAAACTTCGTGTAATACGCGCGAGAGGAACCATTTCTTATTTTATAGGTATGCAGCTTCTACTGAAAAAATGAAATAAAAGAAATTAAATTAAATTAAAGTAAGGTTTAATAAATTAAATTTTTTACTTAAATAATAATTTAAATTTAAATCATAATTAAAGATCTCGTAAGAAGTAGTTGTTGGCCTTAACGTGATTGAAGGGGAAATTATAAAAATTAATGTAGCCTCAAAGGACTTAGACTCTTAGGTCTTTATTGATGGATCCCCCACGCCTACCTCTCCTGTCACTTTCGGCAAGAAAATCGTTGCACAAGTCTTTCTTGACTTATCAATCTGACTTTTTATTTTGAACAGGAAGGTGCAGGGATGCATTGCAGCGATAAGATAACGTGACAATGGTATTGTGTTTACAATAATATTTATTATCGTTTCGATATTGTTTTTACTTTATTGGTCAAGTTTATTGCTGATTGTATAAAAAAAAATAATTTACCTACATTTTTTTACTGTAAAAGTGTATTTGCAAAACAAGACTTCAAACACTTTTAATTTAAAAAAATGTGTTTACAAATCACATTTTTTTTTTTAATTACTAAAGGCATCTTTTACAAATTCATTTTTTCGTTGTTTTCATTTTCGAAATCTTAGGGGTTCCCACTTCATTCGTCTAAAATTCAAGGGTTTGAATGAAATTTACACTAAAAACAATCATATTAAACCTTACTTTCAAAATTGGTAATATGATATGTTTTTTGGAATATATTGTGATGGTGTATGAAACGTGGGTGAGTAGAACGAGGTGCGTATAACTAAGATAACTAAGATTTAGCCTGAGCTTTTGGGCTTGGATATAGCTCCATACCATGAACCGTGTCAATGCCTAGGCTAGAGTAGCATTATCACATTAGCGAGACTGAAACATCATAACGTTTAAGGTACAGTTGTCTGCTAGATTGACTCCCAAGTTTAGTTTTTAGTGTTTTTTTTTTTTTTTGTGTTGTGATCTCTAATATTCAAAGGCATTTGAGATGGTTGGATACGAACATTTCAGACACAATACATGGAATTAATTATGGTTAGGTTATGGTTAGAAACTTAGAATGCACAATATATGAGACAACTTTTAGTTGGGTGTTACATGTTTGCTCCATTGTTCTACATCCAATTGATACTCTCTTCCGAATTCCAAAGTTCTATATATGAAGGAAAATATCTCAATTCAATCGACCTCCTTTAGTTTATAATCAAGTCAGATTTACAAAGCCCAATTGTTAAAGAATAGAACAAAAAATTATCATGACTCAAAAAATTTACTGTTTGTAAATTAATGCTCAAATTTTATGGATTTGTGACCTATTTTTTTTTACTACTATAGTAATGGAAAAATGTATGATGACAAAAAGATTGCAAACTCAAACAAGTTAAAATTACAATCACTATATGGTTCCAACCCAGCTTTTTAGGATCCATCTTTGTTAACTATAGTGAATCATAACTTACACCCAAATAGATCATAATTCCCGATGCAATAAAAAAAATCCCCGCAATATAACAAATTTAACCTCTTTTTTGTTTTGCATCATATTGCAGAATTACAAAACCCCATAATGACTCTCATAATAAGTCAAAGGGGAAGATTGCAATCCTTCGAATAACGGAGATAATCACATAATAAACCATATTTACAGACTTTCATAGAATTACATTCTTAAGAAAGAAAGAGGAGACAACCGCAACATGTCTTGGAAACTTCGTGTAATACGCGCGGGACTCATCATCAAGAGGAACTATTTCTTACTTTATAGGTATGCAGCTTCTACTGAAAAAATGAAATAAAAGAAAAGGTGAGACTCTTAGTCAAAATAAAAGAACAAGTAATAGGTACTACATCTGTGACCAATTTAGACAAAAGTAAAACCAGTGAGCCATCATGATATGAACTGATCATCAAGAAGAATCAAGGCAAATGTTATAGGCATGCAGCATCAACTGAAGAGATAAAGTAAAATCACAGTTTAAAAAAATAATAATAAATTTTAATACACAAGACTCCTATCATAACAAAAGCGTGGGGATAAAGTTAACATGTTTATGTTCAATTTAGACAAAAAATAATATTGAATAGCCACCAGTACTCTATAAAGAGGGAAACCATGCAACGTATAGTTTCTTAAAGCAAGTACATTTATGCTAAACTTACAGTGAAACCCACCACATTTAAGTCTAAATATAGGGACCTTCCTTTAGTTTTCTAAAATATCAATGCAATCCCCTATAGCTCATATTGCTTTGTCATCGTGTATTAAAATAGAAATGGCTATGTTATGAAATATTTTTCAGCAAGTTCATAGTTTATCCTTAGGCCGCATCATAACATAAATGTTTGACTTATTTAGATAAAAGAAAATAAAAAGAGTAAGAAGCTAAAACTATTATAGAAAAAATTGTTATCTCCGTCTCATCAACCAAATTGAAAAAAATAACAAAAAGAAGGTTTAATTACAATTTGCCCCTTCTAACTATGCCTCTTGTTGCAATCAGCTCCCTATAATTTTAAATGTTGCAATATGTCCCTTCCAACTTTCAAGCAAACTAAATTAACTGATAATAGTGGCTGGAACATGAAAGTAATATTACACCTTTCACCTTGTATATTATTTCCTATATGTTTTATTCTTGAGATACCAATTTTATACCAAAAAGCTAAGGAAATAAAAAGCCAAGAAAGAAAATATACATATTCAGCCCAACACCAACAAACTGCACAGCACCATGTTCTCCTCCACCTCTACCCAACACCAACACACACACACACACACTTTTCAGTGGTAATTGTGTCTTTTTAATAAAGTAGAGATCATGTTAATTTCTCATGTCTAACTCGAGTCATTTTTATGGGTCTAAAATTATTTGTTGGAGTTAATTATAAACAAATATTTTGCTAAGTTTTGTTTGAATTTAAACATGAATTTACACAAATTAGGAAATTAAATTATACAAATTACCAAATTCATATTTATACTAACAATATTATGCACAGTAACAACGCCATATTATGCACGGTAACAACGGTCATGTGATCTATACTAACGTATTATGATTGAAGAACCAAACCCACCACTTAATGAAAAATCGAAGGGAAAATTATCCGTACACCTTCTGAACTATCACATTTTTTCACTTTGCCTCCTTAACTACCAGATTTTTGGCGTTACATTGTTAATTAACACTTTTATTTTATATTGTCTCAATCACAAACGCCTATTATCTTATTGGACGAAAATTACTGATGTGTTAAGAGTAAAGTAAAAAAATTATATAGTTTGGGGGACAAAATGAAGGTTATATATGAAAAATCTTGTCGTTGAGGGGACAAAGTGAAAAAAGGGTTATAGTTCAAGGCGTAAGTGTAATTTACCCAATGTAAAAATTATACAACGTACCATATAGCTTGTAAGTTTCCTCCGCAGTCTTGCCATATACACAGCTGTTGTCACGTAGATCCAATCTTTTATGTTGTTCAAGAATTGGAAATAGGCATGTTGCCAAGACCTTTTGAGCAGTAAAGTGCCAAAGACAGCCCAAAATGCAAGAATGAAACCAAGCACCATACTTACATAAAACCCAAAGGTCACAAACCTATCCTCATCTTCCTCAAAGTTGTTGTCTATGCCATGACCAATATCAGAAGGAACCTGAGCAGCTGCTTCATCTCCTGGGCACTTGGTAAGTGGAAGCCCACAAAGATCACGATTTCCAGCATATGAAGAGGCATCAAAACTCTGCAGTTGAGTGCTTGATGGAATTTTACCCGACAAGTTGTTGTCCGACAAGTCCAAGACACTAAGAATATGCAAACGAGCAAAGTCCGGAGGAATCTCACCGGAAAGATGGTTCTTAGACAAGTCGAGACATTCTAACATCTCCATTTCACCAATCATTTGAATGATACTTCCTGTCAAATGGTTTCTCGATATGTTCAAGGAAAGTAATTCCTTAAGACTTGAAATGTTTTGAGGAATCAACCCAACTAATTTATTGCTAGAAAGATCAATAGTTTTAAGTCGTCCCAAATTCTTTTGGTATTCCCACTCTTATTCTTTCCATTGAACCAATTCATTATCCATGTAGTTGCCCCCAAGATAGACCTAGTAGCCGGACCCACTGTAAGATACGAGTTCAATCTTAATGGTTTCACTTGAACTATTCCTTTTAACCAAAGAAGTAAAATTGTTTAAGCACCTTGGTATATTTCCCGATATATTGTTTCGAGAAAGGTCGAGGATTTGAATATGGTCAAGATGACAGATTCTTGGCGGTATGCTTCCATAGAACTCATTCTGACGAAGACTAAGAATGATCAAGTTTGTTAGGTGTGTCCCTATCCATGCTGGTATTTCTCCTGCAAACTTATTTTCACCCAAATTAATAACACTCAACTTTGTACAATTTTGTAAAGACGAAGGCAATTCCCCTACAAATTTGTTGTTGGCACAAAAATGGGAAATTGATCCTGAAAACATGTTTTTGCAGAGATACACTAACGTCGCCTTAGGGGGAAGTGATGGTATTAGACCATTAAAACAATTAGAGCTCAGATCTATTCCAGGAAAATCAACAAGCTTCAAGGATAAATCGGGGACAATACCACTAATCTGATTGTAAGAGAGATTCAAGAAATGTAACCTGGGGGAGAGATCCCAAAACCAATCAGGTATTGTATCTGAAATTCCAACATAGGAGATATCAAGCTCAGAAAAATTGTTCTGTGTTCGAAGCCATTTTTGGGAAATGAGGCCCCATACTACAATTACCGAGTCTTATAACATCCAATTGAAAAGGAGAAGTCCAGTCAGAACTAAAGTCTAAAGCTAGTGAATTATAAGACAATATCAACTTCTTTAAATTGGAGAGATTTGAGAAATGGGCTCCGGAGATTATACCTTCTAATGAGTTTGAAGAGACACCTAAAATTTCAAGCTTAGAAAGTTGCCCGATACTTTTGGGTAGCATCCCCTGTAACCGATTGTTGGAAAGATATAACTCTTTCAACAAATGAAATATTGACATATCTGGCAATGGCCCAGAAATCTGATTAGAAAACACATGTAGAAAAATTAGATTGGAAATCTGTCCAAAACTTAGAGGAAAAGACCTATTCAATGTATTACGACCAAGGTACAATTCCTTCAAGGACGAAAATTTAGTAAAATCAGGCAATGAACCACTAATTTGGTTCTGATTCAGGTTCAAGATCTCTAATGAATTCTGTGCAGCACCAGTCAAATTCTGAAGAATCTGGGAGAGTTGTTCATTTAAATGGTTGATAGATAAATATAACGAGTGTATGCAACTTAAATTCCCAAAAGATTTTGGAATCCCACCATCCAGAGAATTGTCATTGAGATAGAGATCTTTGAGGGAAAGCATGTTCCCAAAAGCATCAGGAATGGGACCTTGCAGAACGTTATAGGAAATGTCAATGCTAACGAGGCTTGCATTTAAGTTAAACAACCAATGATATATTGAGGAAGAAACGAGATTATTCCAAGAAAGATCAATGACGGAAAGAGACATAGAAGAAGAATTGGTGAGCAAGAGATCAAGTGAGGGTGGAATGGTGGTTAGAGGGAGTTGACAATCACCCAAGTGCAATTCTGTGAGCAAAGGGAGTTTGTTTATTGCCTGTTGCCAATCCACTGCCTTACTGAGGTCAACATAACTCAAGTCAAGGTGTCTTTAAGAGACGAATATTAGAAAGCCACTCAAGTTTTGTAACATTCAGATAATTACCCCTAAGATCGAGTTACAGCAAGTTTGCTAGGTTCCCAAGTTGATGAGGAACCATACCGAAAATGTCATTCCAAGCAAGATTAAGGTGCGTTAATCGGCTGAGGGAACTTATGAACTCTGGAAATGTACTGCTGCGAAAATTATTGAAACTAAGGTCCAAATAACTCAAATGTTGCAATTCAAGCAACGAAGAGCTGATATTATAACCTCTCAAACGTCCATCATAAGACTGAGCATGGAGATCGAGAATGAGTACGTGACCAGTGCGGTTGCTACAATGGACTCCTTCCCATGTGCAGCAGTCTCTTTCGTCATCTTCTTTGATGGGACATTTTCAGACACTCCAAGATAAGCGACACGTGTACTCGGCGTCAAGAAAAATACTCTCTGTTGTGATCACGACACGTGCTCGTCGGGCCATAATCCCCCTTCCCCCCGAGGAGGGTACTGGGCATAAGGACCTACAACGCCGGTATGCACGGGGGGTCGACACGTATTCCTCGGCCGATAGGGGGGGCACGTCGGTCCCCAACCGTACTAGGCCTCTCGATATCGAGGTGTATCCACTACATCGGCGTTCTGTTCCTGCAAAGTTGTTGATAGACAGGACATCAGCCTGGGCTAGTCTAGATTAGCCATCATGACCTGATCCTACCTAAATGGTGTCAGAACGCACAGGAAAGCAGAGGACTCAACCAAAAGGGAGCCGGCGCGTGGCATACTATGTCAGTCAGGGACAAAAAGACCAAAACGCCCGTGCTGACACACAACTTGGGAAAGTAAGTATTCAATGCACCTTTCCCTTGATGAGACAGCATTTAATGCGTAAAGACGAGGAACTGAAAAGCATTAAATGCTCCTGTGACTGAGCATTTAATACATCCCTGTCGAGTGAGGGTCATTAAACGCTCGACAGACCGAGGGTGATGTATTGGTTGCTCGAAATCCCGAGCAGTTAAGAAAGAGGTCATTTCTCCTAAAAACCAGTATGCACGTTACCCATCTCTAATGATCATCTACTGACCACACTGACAGCAATCATAAGTTTTTAAGGTATAAATACTCCTCACAAAAGGCAAGACGGTACGCAAAAACCTTTTCTCAAATCTATACACAGTATTTTCTTCTTCCCCTCTCTCAAAGAACTGACTCGATTGTCGGAGGGGATACACCGAAAAACACTCCGGCGCCCTCCTAACTCATTTTTCTCTGTTCCTGGAACCTCTCTCAACCTTACTGGACCGCTCCGGTGATCCACAAAAGTCACCCATTACCATTACAGGCTACCACCAGACCTCACACCTTTCCAAACAACAAGGTTGACCATTTGATTGACTGACTTGTGTTCACCACGGGAGAGATCTGTTCTTGTGTGTATATTGTGCAAGATCCTGCACGCACAATCTGGCGCCGTCTGTGGGAAACGACTAGTTTTCCTAATTTCTTCTCTAAAAAGGACAGTGACCATGGTGAATACTCGACAGAAAGGGAAAGGTCCCAGCAAAGAAGTCTCGATTTGCAAGCTCCTCGTCATGATGGAAAGAGGGGTCACGCTGATGACAACAGAATTGTCTCTATTCAGTCAAGGGGGCTTAGTCCTCAAACCAGTATGGGCATCAGGTCAGGAGAATCTGCCCCCTTGGCTCGTCAATTGGCGGAGGTGATCGAAGAAAAGTTTGGGGATCGATTACGACAGTTGAAAAAAGACAATGTGAATGTCCTAAGCCGGCTCAACGAATTCGTCGCCTCTAGCGAAGGGTCGAGGGACTCGTTCCCTTCTCGTGGACTCCCCCCGCCCGAGAAGCGGAAACTGAGGGCCTGAGGAATCATTTAAATAACAAGGTTGAAGGCTCCAGGGCCCCAAAACGCCTAAGAGCCAACAAGCACCCCCTCGACGATCATTCTAGGAAGGCAAGGCCTTTAGCCCTGGACGACCTCCGGCGAGAACTGTCAAGGCGGAGGAAGGGAGACGAGTCCGAGGAGGATTCAACCCTTTTCACGCGACGCCCGAATAAGGGGAGCCCCGTCAATGAACTCGGAGACCTCATAAGACATCCATTTGGGGTGGAAACTGATCTCAGAGCTCGGTTGGAATCCAGGAGAAAGGGCAGGGTTGTCCAGGATGACGCTGAAGACGAGACCATACAATCGCCTTTTGTCAAGGATATCCGAGAGATGGAGGTACCAAGGAAGTTCGTAGTGCCAAGATTTAAAACTTACGATGGGCGATCAGATCTCGAAGCTCACCTCAGGCAGTACAAACAAATGATGTCCTTGTATCATTCGAACCAACAACTCCTCTGCCGAGTGTTTTCCATGAGCTTGGGGGACTCCGCGATGAAGTGGTTCGAGGCTCTTCCCCCCAATAGCATTGGATCATGGAAAGAGTTGACGAGGCAGTTCCTAGCCCGATTCATTACGGGGAGTAAGCGGCCTAAAGACGTTAGATCATTACTGACGCTCAGACGGAGGGAATCCGAGATCCTTCGCCAATACATCATCCGGTACTGGAAAGAGGTTAATGAGGTGGAGGGGTGTTCGGAAGTCATGGCAGTGGCGTCTTTCAAGCTCGGCTTGGCAAAGGACACGGACCTGTACCGATCCCTGACTAAAAAGACTCCCTTGGATATGGGCGAGTTGATGACCCGGATAAACAAATACTCTAGGATCGATGACGAAATGGGGAGCAGTAAAGGCAGAACCCTCCCACCTAAGAGAAAAGAGAGGGAGCGGGAGGATACTTCTCGAAAGGGGCTACTACCCCCTCCCGGTGGTTCATTCAAAGGTGTTCACACTATGTTCAAAGAACCCATCTACAAGTTGCTCCACAAGATCAAGCATGAGTCATTCTTCAAGTGGCCGCCCAGTATGCAGAGCGATCTCTCCACCCGTGATCAAAAGGTCAGGTGTTCCTATCACTGGGATTTCGGCCATCGCACCGAAAGTTGTAGAGTATACAAATCTTTTTTGGAAAGGTTGGTCCGGGACGATTACTTAAAAGAGTACATAGAACCTAAGCCGGAAGAGAGACACGTCCTTGTCCCGGGCGAGGAGCTAGACAATGTCATAGACGTGATCCATATATGTCCACTAGATCGCCCGACGTACAAGGAACTCGAGTCCGATCTCAAGAGAGTAGCCTTTACAAGAAAGATTGATGAGAGTGATGGGGGGCTGCCCAGCAAAAGGACTAGGATTGGCGATCCGGGCATCACGTTCTCCGACGCGGACTTGGCAGGCATGGTGACTCCCCATAACGACGCCCTGATCATAACCCTGAAGATAGGCAAGTTTGACGTCAAAAGGGTTTTGGTGGACTCTGGGAGTTCCTCGGAAGTGATGTACTCAGATACTTTAAAGCGGATGGGTTTTGGCCTCAAGGACCTTACCAAGGTCAGGACGCCCCTCGTCGGATTTAACGGCTCATTCGCCTTGCCCATAGGCAAAATTACATTGTCAGTTGTCACGAGTCCCTCACTATCAATACGGAGTTTGTTGTGATCGATACGGACTCTCCCTATAATGTAATCATGGGACGAGCATGGTTGCATGCCCTGGGAGCGGTACACTCCACTTATCACCAAAAATTGAAGTTTGTTACACCAGAAGGGATCGTGAAAATCCGAGAGGATCAAGCGTCCGCGAAGAACTATTTTTACTTGGCTGTAAGAGCGGGGGTTTTCACCCAAGAGAAGGGGCGCACTCCGGAAGAGATCCTGAAAAAATAGCAATCACAGTCCGGGCGTCCAAGAATGGATGACCCCCGGATTGACCCGACGGAACTGTCGGTAGAGTACCTCCGAAAGGTGCCCTTGGTGGAGGGTGAAAAGAAAAGGTACTTTTTGGTTGGAACCGCGATGCCCACAACCGAACAGGAGGAGATGATTGACTTCTTGAGGGGAAATGCAGACGTGTTCGCTTGGAACGCAATGGAGATGAAGGGAGTGGACCCCGAAATAATTACGCACAAGCTGCATGTTGACTCGGCGCACAAGCCAGTAAAGCAGAAGCCATGATGCATGGCGCCGCACCACGCCTGGGCGATCAACGAAGAAATCGATAAACTTCTGGAGGCCAAGACCATCCGGGAGGTACAGTTCCCAGAATAGTTGTCTAACACGGTCTGCGTGAAGAAAAAAAGGGGAAATGGCGTGTCTACGTAGACTTCACTGATCTAAACAAGACATGTCTTAAGGACGACTACCCCCTGCCAAAGGTGGACCAGTTAGTGCATGCCACTGCCGGATATCAACGCATGGACTTCTTGGATGCCCGAGCAGGATATCACCAGATCCCTCTCCATCCCCTGGATCAAGAAAAGACGGCATTTATCACTCCAAGGGGAGTTTACTGTTACAAAGTGATGTCGTTTGGGCTGAAAAACGCCGGGGCAACATACCAGAGACTGATGAATCAGATGTTCAAAAAATAGATCGGCAACACCATGGAGGTCTACATTGATGATATGTTGGTGAAGAGCAAACAAAGTTGTGACCACCAGGTGGATTTGGCGGATACCTTCTCCACCCTCAGGGAGTATGGGCTGAGGCTGAAAGCCGCAAAGTGCATTTTCGGAGTAGAATCGGGTAAATTTCTCGGATATTTGGTAAATCAGCGAGGAGTCGAAGCTAACCCGGATCAGATTCAAGCGATCCTAGACGTTTGGAGCCCTCGAACTGTCCGAGAAGTCCAAAAGCTCACGAGGATGCTGGCAGCACTTAACCGTTTCGTCTCGCGATCCTCAGACAAATGCAAACCCTTTTTTGAAGCCATCAAGAGGGCCG